TGAAATACACGCACAAATCGGCAGAATGATGACGATAAAGTCCGTGGTGTGAAACTTTATTAAGGAATAGACGACATTCTTCCGTGCGATGATAAATGTCTTCTAGATGTTCAAGTGCGAGCACTTAGGCACTTCAGTCTTCATATAGTGATATTTGTTCGTAAACAGCTTCATGCAAATATCTTTATCGATGAACTCAATAAAAATGAAATAAAAAAGTACGTATTGCATGGAGCTAAAAATATTCCCAAGCCAAGTCTTGACTTAGTTTAAAGTTTGTATTGTTTGGTAAATTTCGAGTTAACTTTACTTAGATACAGAGTACAGACTGATGTCGATTGAGGTATTATCAGTATAACAGAATGAGATTCAGGCAGCTTTACAGATTGCATGTTAAAAAACATCTTGCACTTGTTGAGATACAAGAAAGAACAATGTAATATTCAAAATACCGTGATATTGTTAAAATGCATGCATTGTTGTGGTTAGTTTTGAATAATCTGAAACTAAGTATCATAATATCAGTAAAACTGTAACTCTGGACCAATTGCTAAACAGAACTATGGTGGCCTATGAGTTCCACAGTAATTTCTAGTGTTTCCACTCTATTATTGATATTATTCCATTTTTGTTTATTTACAAAGCAAACTTGATTTATTTCACAGTTTGAACAAATTATTTTTTTAACAGTGCAATTATAGTTTTGCTTCAGTTTTGTTTTGTTTAAGTTTTGCTTTTTTCCAAATCCGTTCATTTTTCCAAAAATAAACTGAATCAATCAAATGCCATGGCCTATGAGTGCCATAGCCATTGAGTTCTATAATAACTGGAGCGGCTATCTCAAGCGCAGCCTTAGATATCTGATGACGCCAAAAAAATGGCGGATTTCGTCCTTTTCCGCTGAGATTTACCGAAATTGACCGCTTTTCCGAAAATTTCACAATTTCCCACTCCCTCCTGAGAAAAGAGTGAGGAAAATGTATGTGTGTATTTGGGATTCGGCAAGCAATTTTTTGTTGAAAATCAAGGTAAAACATCGTAACAGCGAGTCAACTGTGGTTGTCAGTTATCTGCTCCTACGAGGATACATTTATAACTATCGACGAAAGAACTATATGTCGGCTACACATGTATGAATGCAGATGTGCGTCATTTTCTTACCAGCGACAAACTTGTTTGATCGATTAAACTCTTTAGCCTATACAAAAAAGTATATCATTGTTCATCTCCACGGTTCACGAGAGAGAAGTTAGCTTATTTGTTATCATTGCTATTTTGCTTCTTTTCATGCAATGGGCAATGGCTTTTTTCGCCACAATTGTAGGATTTTTACTTGTTTCTTTAAAAAAGTACATATTAAATCTCTGGATATTTTCGGATTTTCTGTAATTGAGTTTCATATAAAATTTCAAAAAGACTCAAGTCTGCATAGGTTTGGTAAATGAAAAAAAACAATATTGTATCGAAATTACTTTAAGTAACCTTTTTGTGATGTTCTGAAGTGACACTACATCAAGTACTTGTAAAGTTGTAGCACATTTTGATTTTGTTGTATTAATATATATGAATTGGGCAAAATGCAAATAATCATCAAAACACTTATGCTTCCAATGGTGTTTATAATTCATTTGTAGTTTTAATACTTCTACCTTTCTTTTTCACTTTGTTTTGTTTTTCCTATATTTGCAATAAAAGTGCACTATAATTTGAATGATTAACACAGTTTTCACCTCAATAATCAATTTCATAAGCAGTTGGTAGTGCATTTTGTTCTCTGAGTATCCACATCTGGTGTTTTGTTCATACAAGAATGATGAAGTGCAAGTAGATATGTCATAGCAAGTATAGTGTACTCGTATCCTAGAAGCTTAAAAGCATTTTAGAAATTAGAAATTTATTGGATTATAGAGAATTATCATCAATCTATATAGAAAATCCTTTGATGGTATTACGTTCTGTAGACGAATAATATAACAACATTATAGGCTAGGAAACTGTATAGTAAGACTATGTAAAAGTAGACTTCCTCATTTCAAAGGTAATTACATATTTTATGCTACCATCATCTGCAATTGAGCATTACCATGCGTGTTTTCATTGAAACATTAAAATCAAAATAAATTAGTCAACGGCATTCATTAACAAAAAAACCCCAATTTTTTCATAAAGCTCATAACACTTTCATTACGCAAGGTTCACTCATCTGTAAGCTTGAAAATCTACAGTGGCCCGGGGCTCTTGCAAATTAGCGGCCTTGATAACTATACATCCCCCTTTGAAACTCTGCACCCTTCCTGTCAAATGAGTATTGACCCTCCCCTGAACTGAATACGAAAAAATTCAGTTGTTGATAAAAGGGAACTGATCGATTTATTGAGTATGAAATATTTATTAAGGGGAAGGTGCGTTTTTGTTTCCTTGTGACGTCAAGGGAGCCATGTTTGTGGATTACTTCTAATGTCTGATTGTGAACAGATGATGAAAATAATACTAACTAAATCTTTTCACTCTACGAATTTTTCTAAGAAAATGATGGACAGTGTAAATACTCCATTGACCGATATACCTATTTTTTGTCTAGGGAGCTCACTCATGTATAATATCGATTGTTTATCAATGAAATTGAATCGTGTCAGTCATGTGTAGAGTTGTAGATTATATACATGAACAAAACTTACTTAGCTAATATACTTTACATTAGTGTCGAAGATCACGATGATTTGATGCCAATATTCGATGAACAAAGTGAAACTTTAATAAATTCTTACGGTAAGTAAACACATACTTACATCTTTTCTTACTTGTTACGTCATAAGAGCAAAACGTCTATGTCTTATATTTCTTTTTGCTCCAGTTTTTTTGCGATAAACTAGCTATTTAAAGCCGATATTGGAGACAACAGGAGATATAACTTTAACACGAATGTCTTGATGGATATATTATATAGTTTATTTCGCTTTATGCTGTCTCGTTTTTGAAATTTCGTTTTTCTTTTTCATAAATCTTTCTCTGTATTTTCCACGCGTTTTCTTTTCTTTTTTTAATAAAATATCATGACGACAACTTCTGTAATGGTTATTGTTTTTGAAAGAAGGTTTTAGCGCATTATCCGCTCTCTGAAAGCTTGCTCTTACACACTGGCTGAATGCAACAAAGAAGTTGCACTCCCGCTAGTTATTGGCAATCTCATTTGTCCATCAACGAGGGAGAACTTTCTCGTTTCATGACCTGTTTTTCAATACTTTGTCTTTTTTGTTATTATTTGCTCTAGTTATTATAGACCTCAATGGCCATAGCCCACAACTCGCTGTAATTCTTACCCAATGAACTCTACAACAACTGGAATGCTAACTTGGCCGCCATCTTTGAAGCCTGCATGATCGCCGCCATTGAGGGTATGGAGGCGAAATACATCACTTCAAAATTGCCGGATTTTTTGCACAAAACAGTGGTCATCGAGCCAGATTAATGTCTAAAAACCTTAAGCAATGTTTGGACTTTAATATAAAACAAGTTTGAACGACATTCGTACATGTTTAAGCTTCTTTTTAGAAGGATAAAAAGCGAACTTTGTTTTGGGACGTGAAAACATGCCTTATAACTTGAATACCAATCTGACAACCCTCTTTTTTATCATTAAAAGGATGTAAAATACACTTGTCTATCTTTATAATATTGTTTGAATCTTTGAAAATGAAGCTGTCAGGGCAAAAAACGCTGTTTTTCGGTGATTTTTGTGTTTCCCAGCAAAATTAGCTCGCCCCAGTCCTTTTTGAAAGTTCAGAGTGTAAACAAAAAGAAAAACACTTTGCAAAATATTTCAAAAAGTTGGCAAAAAAGATTTTGATTTTGTTTTAAAAAACTGTTATGCCATATTAGTGTGTTATTATTAATTGCACAATAGGTTCAATACCCACTTAAAAAAAAGACAAAAACACAAATGACACTCCATATTCATAACTTTTCAAAAACTTAAGTAAAAATTGTACTGTAATACAGGAATGAAAAAGATTATTAGTCTAATATTATGGAATCATCATATATTTTCACAAATATGACCAAACATTTTAAACACACATCCTAAAATTTAATATATTACATATACATTTATCATCATCTGTATTACAAGAAAAAATCTAATTTTACAATCAATATGATATACTATAAAATTTTGATGCATGATATAGCTTAGCTTTTTAAAACCCTGGTTCAAACCACTGAGGATGAGGGTTGCTTTTTGGCATTTATATAGAGCAGGTTATATTTAGCAATACTTGTCATGTTGTACACTTGGCTATTTATTTAAAGGATGAACTTGCTTATAAAATGCTCAATACACAAATATGAATGCATGTCAAATCTTCCACCAGTTCTTAAGAAGTGGGAGAAGTAAATGATAAGAACCAACAATCACCCACAGTTCAAAATTTCAAATCATCACTTTCACACATTACAAGAGCATGTGAGTATCTTACAAAGCAAGTCTAACTTTAAAAGCAATAAAATTGTTATGAAACATGTTATATTAAGTTGATTGTGTGTATTTTGCACAGCATTCAAAGATACAGACTACCTGTTATCAGTTTTATCTTAAATTTTTGGCCTTTCGACGACAAATGAGAAATTCATATTTCGAAGCAAGTTCTCACTTTTATGTTTTATATAATACAGCGTTACGTATACAAAACATGTCTTGGAACGTCCACAATGCATCTTAACACATTAATACTCAAATTTTGCGAACGGTTTTGAAAGAAATAAAACATTTAGGCTAGCATTATATTTCCAAGTTAGCAGTTTTTGCGAAACAATCCGTCACGCAAAATAAACAGTCCATGCGACATACTTGCAAAGCGGCAAATCAGCTTCTAAGTCACTTCAGCAAAACTAGGCTTGTGTATATTGTGAGTTAGCCTTCCAGTTGTTGTAGAGTTTACTGTTCTTAACTCATAAACCATATATTTCCATATTACATGAAGTGGGCTCTATACTTTATAATTATGGCGGAACGCATAAGAAACTCTGATTGGGAAAATGATGAAGAGATGAGATATGATCTTGAAAAATATGTGCAGCGAAATTTCAAACGAAAAGAGATACTAGACTATATGTCTGCAGATTATCCCATATATGCATGGAGCATTCGCACTTTAAGTCGCAGGCTTCAACATTTTCATATTAAATACACATACTACGACATTGCATTGGAAGACGCTAAAACAGCTGTCAAAAAGGAATTGAACGGTCCTGGCGTTCTTCTAGGTTATCGAGCAATGCAGCAAAAGGTAAGAGAGGTGCATGGACTCAATGTTTCACTCGACTTAGTTTACGCTGTAATGGGAGAAGCTGACACAGAAGGACTGCAATCACGAGGTGGAATTGGAAAACAGAAACGACCACGTAGAACAAACGCGTTTGTTAGTCGAATAAGTCAGCAATCTTATTTTATTTGTGTTGCGATAAGTAAAATATCAATTGCTTTGTTTCAGAATATTCCCAGTATTTCTTTAAAACTATGCGGCTTTTTTGTAATGAAAATTTACATCATCTTAAGCTTTATTCTAAAAACCAGTATTGTGTTTCTACCATTTGATAAGTGCTGTAAGGAACAAGCTAAAAGAAATTTCTGTGCACAACAGTTTGCATTATGTGGGTGAAAAACTTGTAGTAAAAAATCACCATGCAAAGTGATTTTCAAAGTTTAAAGGAAGTGGGCATTTGAGGGTGGACAACAAAGTTTTATTGGGGCATGTATCTCCCCTTAGCAATGCCACGTCTGAAAACTGCTAGTTTGAACCTTCATTTTGTTAAATTATAACAGGGATCAAACTCTACAATGTCCTTGGATGGGCATGATAAGCTTTGTGGCTATCAGAAATCCTTGTTTTCTTTGTGCATCTATGGAGGGCTGTATTAGAATTATAATGTTTAAGTAACCATTTTAATATAACATAACCAAATACAACGTGCAGTGCAATAGAACAGAATAAGAATACAAATGAGATAGGATGTCAACAAGACAAAGAACTTAATATAAACATAAGTGTTAGTGCCAAAGTCCATGATCAATTATCCAATCATGTATCATCATTATAGATATAAAGTTCCGGTATCATATTACTCTAATAATACGTTTATATCCCAATAGGCTGGATGTATACAGTGGCAGGGTTAACTTTCTGAAAGTGTGGACAACTAACAGTAACCCATTGGTTATTGGACGATTCTATTTTGAATATCTGTTTAAGGCTAGGTGTAAGATATTTCGAATTTCAATTTTATATTGTTCACTTTTTTTATTCTATTTCACTCTATTTTACTTCATCTTTATCACACACATAAAAGTTATTCTTCATCCCATTTCTTTCTTTTGCCTTCAACTTCATAGCAACTACACTAATGCATCCCATGGGACTCCTGAGTCACCTGAAATAGTACCAAGTGTGGATTTTTGTAAGATGAAGAAATGCTAAACTAAAATTTAGCATGCACATAGTCATAAGCTTTACTTGAATAAAATGTACAATCTTAGGAGCAAGTCTTATCTTTATGTTATACAAAGCAGTTTTATATGTAGGTTTTAATGTATACATAAACTAGTTTACTGTAAAATGCATGAGCAGCATTTATAAGAGTGGCAGCATGAAGCAAACACTCCCCCATTATCTTTGTTTATAGTCTGGCAATAGTGTTATTCAATATTGTTGACAATGCATATGATATTACAACTCTATTCGTAACATTTTATCACATTTTTAGAAAAACAAGTCCTACTCTATTTGGGGGTAAACACGATTCATAGTAGGGGGGTTCGTTTGATACAGGTTATGTCTTCCCAAATATACGTTTCAAAATGAATTGGAATCTTTGCAGCATAAACAGTGTCTAAAAAAAATTAAGTAAACAAGAAAAATGTGTGGACAAACAAATCTTAGAAAAAAACTTAGTACTAAAAAAAGAGATGTTATCACACCTCAAGTATAGTAAAACATAGGAAAATAAACACTTTGAATTTTGAACGACAAATGATAATTGATAAGCCGATATCATAATTTTCTTGCACAACTTCGGCATCTGTATACCACATAAGTGTTTGCAGCATTTTTATTGGTGAAAGATTAAAAACGAGTTTGTAATAATAGTTTTTATAGAAAAAATTGGTGATCCAATATCAGGATTTTACATAATGCGGTCAAACTTTCACTGATATAATAAAAGTTCAATAAAATAAAATATTCTTTATAATCGTAGATGAAAGCTGGTTAAAAATCCGGAGGGAAGGAAAAGTTTTTAAATCACGAGCCTGTCGCCTTCTGCTGACATTTTCAATTAAAATGTGCCATATAAGGTACGGCGGCTTTCAAAATAATAAGATAATAACAATAGCTGACGTAGGTATATATTAGTGGTATAATATATGCATGTTTTAGCTGGTTATAAATTAAGTAGCTTTGGAGAAATAAAAGGGGGAAATATTTTTAAGTCACTTCTCGAATTATGAAATTATCCATTTGAAAATATGGTGGCAACCATTAAGTAGAAAGCCAAGAAAGAGTTGACAAGAGGTAAAGACAGGATCCGAGATCAGGAGATTCCACAAAGTGAGCATCACGTGAAGGAGTGATGCAATTGAAACCACCGTTACAGTTAGTTGGAAAGAAGAGATAGAATTGTGCATGGATTTGTCTATGGATGGCAAAAGCGAACAAATGAAGATAAAGGTATTTCTTTATCTTATAGGGAGCAAAGTGCGTGAAATCTTTGAGACTATGCAGTTTGAAACACCCACCGAAGAAAGAACTTTAGTGCAAATAACTGCTGCATTTGATAGTTATTGCAACCCAAAAAGAAATGAGACGGTTAAAAGATACAGATTCGTCTCTAGACTACAAGGAATAAACGAATCCTTCGAACAATTTTTAACCGATTTGAAGCTTAGGTCTTCATCTAAAATGATTCCCAGAAGCTTCTGGTGGGAAACCTGCTCTAACATATTGCCATTAATATGAACACACAATAATGTAGATGAATTTACCAGTTTCTTTGCAATTCTTTTCCAGTGATAAGCATAGTTTTGATTTTGTAGAGCTAAGCACCATTAAATTTTATTTGCCCATGAGTTCGAATTAGTTGTGTCCTCTTGTAATATGCGTTCAATAGGGAAACATCTGAATAATGATTAGATTTAACAAGAGTGGTATCATCAGCAAAAATATTCATTGAATGTTTTTATTGATTTAGGCAAATCGTTAATAAATATGATAAACAAAAGGGGCCCAAGACTGAACCCTGCGGTACACCACGATCAATAATAGTTGTAGCAGACGCCATTCACTGACACGTATTGATACCTGTTTGAAAATATGAGTTGAACCATTTAAGGGAATTAGTACTAAGACCACAGCTTTAAGTTTACCCAAAAGTAGTTTTTGATTCACCATATAAAATGCTTTTTTAAAATCACCAAACAGCAAGCCAATAGATTGTCATTATCAAAATCAGATAATATCTGATCAACAATTTTAATAAGAGCTGTTTCAGTAGAATAGCCATTTCTCAAGCCAGATTGAAGAACATAAAACATGTCGTTGGATTAAAATTCGAGAACCAAATAATTATAGACATGACGTTCAAGAACTTTGGAAATTATCGGTAGCGGAGAAATAGGTCGATAATTATCTGGATCTGTAGCATTTCCATTTTTAAACAGGCAACAAACATTAAATTTTACCATAGTCTGAGATCAAGACGAACTTAGTTGTAAGCTTGGAGTTATTGCTCGAGGAGAGATTAATAATCTCATCATCACTCAGGAAAGAGATGATTCAATGCATAGATTATGCTCATAGTGAGATCGTAAGTACGTTGGCAAAGCAAGAGAGTCCACATATTGGCCAGGTATCAGCAAGAAAGTTCGCCAGTTTATAGAACTATGTAATGTATGCAGATCGTTGGACTAACAGCAGCCGAAAGAAATTTTTGTCAACACGATATTCCTCATCGTCCGTTGACGAAGGTGGAACTGATCTTTTACCTATAATGAGTGTCAGTATCTTATTTGTGTCGATTACTATTCACCTTCTGGGAAGTTGATCTTTGAGAGAGCACGATCAAACCGTAATCAGGAAGTTAAAAGTACAGTCTGCACGGTATGGGATACCAAAGTAGTTATGTCGGACAATGGTCCTCTATTTTCTTTAAGAGATTTTAAGGAAGCTGCAAGAAATGGAATATTTAGCATTTAACGAGTTCAAATACATACCCAGGACAATGGGAAGATGGAAGCCATTGTCAAGTCGAAAGTTGTCAGCCACAAAGCAAAGCGCGCAAAAGATTTTCGCAGCCATTTTCTTGGTTGAATAAATACACAAACGTTGTATCAGTTCGTAATCCGGGATATTTATGCGTCTTTTGTGTATACGTATAAAAATTTGTGTCGCTTTTGGATCAAAAGTATTTTCAGAAGCTTGCCAGTAGTTTTTCATTTACGTATCTCTTTGGGTGGGCAAATAATTATTCAAAACTGTGACAAGCTTAACGATTGAAGAAAAGAAGACCAAAACTTGGTATTCATATAGAAACTTAGCATTTGGAATCAGACGCTTTTACCTATTGTGGAAGTTGTACGAAGAGTCTAAGAGAAAGTTCATCGTGTCACAGAACAAATTATCATAATTAACACGAACATAAACGAATAAGATCAGCGGGCGCGTTGTGTTGTGGTAGACAAAGATTCTTTAAATAGAACACAATATTACTAAAAGAAAGGGAAGATACTTAACCTAATCGAAAATGGAAAACTTTAATACTTCAATGGAAAACAATTGGCAACAGAATAACTCAAAACCAAAAAATATTTTGCGAAAAAACAAAAGCAGTGTTGTTATTTTTAAACCAGAAAAATATGATATTATATGTCTTTCAGATGAGGGTGACAACTAACCAGAGCATTTATTTTTATAACATCTCTAGCATTAGTTCCGGCAAAATTCTAGTGACGTTTTCAGTCAGCAACGCCAATTTCACATATTCTTGTACTAATTGGTCGGAAATTTAGCACAAAACATAAAATGTTTGACGCTGTCATAAAAACAACACAGTTTACACAGTTTTAACGCGTTAAATTATTTTTTTTGCATTATGTCGACACGACATTCATAGCTATATTTTGAAATAGAAACTACATCGTCAGTGGGAAAAGCTTCAATTAACATTTGCCATTAATAGATTATACAAAATAAAACCACGTAAAAGGACAAAGTATGTTAATGTTAACTGATAATTTTGGAAAAAAAAACAGAGAAAAATGAAATAAGTTTACCAAAATAAACGAGCACACAATGATTTTCAATGTAAAGATTAGAACCCAACAGATCGTAGCTTTTGCAAACGATCTGTTGTCTCTAATCCTTATAGTGCGAATTCGTTTCCTGCCTGGCACCTAACTGAGTTCACAATGATACAGCAGCGAAAAAGCAAACATTTACAGAGACACAGCTGTTACCTTGCGGTATGTTGAAGCGAAAGATAATATAAGTGAGTTAACGAACTATTATCGTCAAGCATTGTTGTCAAGATGCACATATATATATACTCGTTAATTACGTTTCCTCATTTTTCATTTTTCTCGTGGAATAGAAACAGCAATTTAGGACCACCTCAATGTATTTTCTTACTATATTGCCAATACATAAAGCGATATAAGTCTATATGAAAACGTCTTATCAAAATAAAAATCGTTTGACGTTCATCACAATGTTTGACAGAAAACAACAGGATGGCAACAAGATGTTGATGATTAGCATGACAATAGCTGACTGTACACTGTTAATATCTGATCGCTCATGTATATAAATAGGACGACACGACTTTAAAAGCCATCTAAAAGCACAAGAGCGTTTCACAGTAAATATACTCTTGCAAACATAAAGTGCAATGAAATACTTCTGGAGTTTCTTTTTTCTTGCTGTGTTGGTTTTTGAATGCAGGTTTACTCATGCAAAGGTAAAATGGCTGAAAGAGTATAAAGATATCACAAATCGTTGCTCGCCAACTGCAGTTAATCAAGTTGGATGCCAAAAAAATGGAAGGAGTATGAAAAGGAATAGACATATTTTTCAAGATTGGAAGAAGCGTTTCGATATCGAAGAAAAGCAAAAATAGCCACCGAACTGCCAAGCGCTTCATTGTTTCAAAAAATAAACTTAGAGTATGTAATTAATATCATGAATTATTGTTAAATTATGTGGCTTCATGTACAACAGAAATATACATTATATGAACAATAAAATTAAAATTTATGAGAGCGTCAGTAATGAAGAAAACTTAAGAAACACAACACCAACTCATCCGAGATTCATTATTGCCCAAAGAAATCTTGAATAAAACAAAACCTCACGAAATAGCATACTCTAAATCTACTCTACTTTAGCTTACTTCGATGGCTCTACATAAAGCTCTATGCTTTGTAAAACAATTGACAAACAAAATTTGATTCCACCTCAGCACTTTTCTTTCTACGATCTTACAGTCTATTTGAGTTTTCACGCTTTTGTATGAAAACAAAGCGCATGATAATTCGTTAATTGTGCTTGTTCATTCGTTCATAGCTACCAAATTTGAAAGCTTGATTTTTAAAGTCAAGTTTGAAAAAATAGCACTTTATCTTCTTCATATTCCAATTTAAATAAATTATCTTATCTCAATTTTGGCTTGTCTGTTTTCGTATGGAGGTAAACTTTTCAATGTGGGCTGCAGACCATTGCAATACAACAAATATTCATAGCTTTACTTTCTTCGCTCGTGGGTTTACTTAACAAGCTATCTCTACATCAATTAATCTTTCTTACACAATTCTCATACAATGCCACTAGCTAACAAGTAATAAAGCAAGATAAAGCAGATTCTCGAGCAGAAATGACATATGATGAAAAAATTGACAACTGCAAGCAAATTTGATGCAAAGGCGCCTAACCGAGTTAACAATGTTCCATTATCAAATGAAATTATACAACATTCAACTCAATTATACAACAATCCTTAAGGTTTTTAAACACCTCCACTACAAACAGCGTGGAAATTTTTTTTTAATGGAAATTAGTCAAAGGAATGGCCAATAGAAATTGTTTCGGGTAAATAGTGATCTCACAAATACTCTAAGACTAAAGGAGACAGTAATCCAAAGGCAGCAAAGGTTAAATTAGTAGGATGAGAAGGGCATGTTTGACAGGCATCGTCCAGGTTAGTAGAATCTTTAGAAGGAATGTTGTTGCTGGTTTTGTCGACAACTTTAGCGGCAGTCAACTTCAGAGTAAAGGAATCGAGCTTGACTCTAAAGATGAATAACGCTAAGATTATCGAAACGTCAGTCAACTTGTTTCTGAGGACATTACTAACGTGGACAATCTACATCTACAAACATGTAATGATATACTCCCAGGCTCAAACAATTCACTTTAAAGATATGCTTGTTTATGAAGCACATGCAATAGGGATATGCTTCACAACATTTGCGGTAATGAATTATAATCAACCCTACTCTCTGTTCCTTACGTCAACCTGATTTAACTGAAAGACGTGTCTCTGAATAAAAATTAGCATGAAGACCTAAAGCTTAATCATTCATCTTCACAATTATTGCGATTGATATTTCAAGGAAAACATCACATTGGCATATCAGTCAAGATTGCAATAACGCGGAGAAAAAATACCCATGCAATCAAATAAGACAACAAAAAGAACGTGATGGGTGCTTTTTAACAGTAACTTCAGAGCAAAGGTTAGCAGATGGTGTTCTCCACATGTAT